ATAACTCAAGCTTACTCAGCAAAGATATAATGGGAGATCTGGGTACTTTAACTGTCTTGGAAACCTGGTCAGGTTATCAGCCTACAAATAGTGGGCCAGATAATATTGATCATTAGGATAGCGTCTTTGATTCAGCTGTTAATGAAGGTTAAACGAAGGCTGCGAATGTTAGTAAAAAGCAGAAGTAGGGTAAGAAGATGGCTAATTCAAAGACAAATAAAGCGCATACTTCCCTTCCTCCACGTTTATTTCCACAAACCATCCCATCTTCGCAAGTAGAGTCTGGTAAAACCATAGAGTCGGTAAAACTAGATCCAAAAGCACAGACAGCTGTATCCTCGTCTCCTGCTGTAAATACCCCGCGCCGCAGTGAATGATACACAGACTGCAGTGCTATTTTCAGGAATACCACCAAATCCTCTGCTACTCTCTCCAGAGATTGTATGCTAAATGCCCTTTAGTGGTTTAAAGTTTGCGTTACTAAACTACTGTCACCGGGGTATTCTGGGGTTATTGTGCGAAAACTTATTAGACTCAGTACTTTGCCAGTTGACGGATCAGCCCAACCTCGCTTACTGTGAATTGTTCTGTCCACACCAGAAAAACGCCTGGCTCTCCTGCGATTCGCCAGTAAATGCAAGTGCACTGGTATCGTTGTGCAACTAGACCTTCCTCTGTCGGCTATATTGAAATTGTGGGCAGCTGTTAGAGAACTTAAAGCCCGTCGAGAAGCGGGGAAAAGGGTCTTTATTAGTGGGTTTTCGGATGATAAGTTAGCGGTCTATTTCCGTCCCACCGGCGGCCTTTCTGGTAGCCTACGACCCGGGGCTCACTATACCAGCTTAAATAAGGTGTGTAGTCTGCAAAACAGGTTGTGTGAGGTCGGCGCCATTGTCGGTGACTGTCGTCCAGATATTCTCGCGTCCATGGAGATGTGGTTGTCTGACGATGTCACAGACGAGGAGGCTAGTTAGCCAGACTACGCGCTGCTGAGGTGTGACCGCGTTTCCGCTCATCGTGAAGGCGGCGTTGCTTTGTATGTTAACACTGCGTTAACTATTTTCAAAACGCATACATTCCGATCCCCAGATAGTTCCGTCGAGGTGTTTGCGGTTAAATTGCGTATAACCCATGAACAAGTTGAAGTAGTGCTGGGTTATAAAAGTTCAAATACATTTGCAAGGGGTCTATTCGAGTTTATCCGTGCCCATACAACAAATAGATGTTTAGAGACAGGGACTTCACTCAACCAAATGTTGACTGGCACAATTGCTTCTGTGATGCTGCTTTATAGAGCTTTGCCATTGAGTTTCTAGACGTAGCTCTGCATGTTCCCTTACATAAATTTATTGTTCAGCGAAGCAGGTCATTTTCTGTCATACTTGGACCCGATCTTCTTAAGTAAATGGACATTATCAGTTACATTGAAGATGGTTAACCTAAAGGTGCTAATGAATATGCATGCCTGTTCTCCAGGTGCGTTCTCAACTGTGTATCCAATGACCTCAGCATCTGAAGGCCAAACATAAGGCGTGCCAGTTTACAAGCAATGAAAGCGTGTTGCGTAATTTCAGACATCGACAGTATTCAGAAAGCCCGAGACACATTCAAAGCTTATTTAGCTGAGTTGTGCCTACCTCACATGCCGATTTCTGTGAGAAATCATACTAAAGACAGGCAACGCTTGTTTGCTTCCGCGGCGAGAAAGCTGCTTAAAAGGCGGACCAGATGTTGGCGTCCCTATGTTTGTTTCTAAAGCATGAAGCTTTCAAAAGCACTGAGACGTTCGAAACGCATGCAGGCAGTATCTGCAAAGTGCTTGGTTACATAACGAATTCGAGCTTGCTCGTACTTCCTAATCAAACCCAAACCACTTCTTTGCTTAAATAAAAAGGCAAGGCAACGTGCGCACGTCCAGCCCGATGTTGTTTTGTCCACATGGCTCTGCTGCTGTCGCTGATCATGACAAGGTATACTTGCTTGGAGAAGAGTACGCAGGTGTATTTGTCCGCGAGTCCCACTTGCCGACCATTAGTTTAAAGGTTAAGGTTCCTGTAGACGCTTGTCTGGAAGAGACTTCGATAACAGCGGTCAAGGTCCTCAAGCTTCTATGAAAGCTAAATCCTACTAAGGCGGCAGGATTCAATGCTATCCACTCCTAACTGTTGCACGAGTTGGCATATAAACTTTTATGTCCAACTAAGCACTGTTTGAGAAGTCACTGCGCAGCTGAGCTCTACCTGTCGACTGAAAATACGCTATTGTATGCCGTTGTTAAAAGATGACAATCACCTCCTTGTGAACTACAGAAACATCAGCCTAACCAGCGTGTTTGTCAAGCTACTAGAAAAACTTGTGAGGGATGCATTTGAAAGCCATGCAAGGGCATTTAGGTTGCGCAGCCCCCTAACACGGTTTTTGAAAGGGTATTCTTGTCCTACCAACTTGTTACTTGCCCGCGAACACTGGGTCGATGTGTTTGATCAATAAAAAGCCTTGGACGTGTTGTTTAGCGAGTTCTCAAATGCTTTTAACAATTTCCACACTCACACCTTTTGTTCAAGTTGCAGGCTTATGGTATCTCGAAGTCAGACTTAAAATGGATTTCAGCTTTTTTAACCGGAAGTGTGATGTGTGATCGTGTGGGCTGCAGCTTATCTTCAACTCAGTGTGTTCACAGCGGTGTCCATCAAAGATCAGTGCTTGACGCTCTGTTATTCAGCTTGTTCCTTAATGGCTTAACCGACGAACTAGGAGTGCCATCTCTAAATTTTCTGAACGACGGTATGTGCAACCACACGCAATGTATTTAAGGTATATTTTATGAGTGAGATAAACATTTGTCCAAAATGCGTCCGGCTATGACATCTAAAGGCAGAAAACGTTCACACAGGGAGCTCTTGCGGTCACTAAAGCAGACAATTTTCGGGCAGACTTGTTATGCAGGCACCGGCAGAGGCTGCGCACTATGCTGTTTTCTCTTTGCGAGTGAGATTTAGAGAGTACACAATTAAGTGTGATAAGATTAAAATGCATTCTAGGCCACCTGAAGCTTAACGAACAGCGAGACCGCAACACAAACCTGAAGCCCTATTAAAATGAACTGATTGTTTGCTTGCTCTTATACAATTTTTGTAAATTCCTGGTAAACAGGGTATGAAAAACAAAATGATACTACAGAAGGTACAGTTGCGATGCCGCAGCACATTTTATTTGTTTCAATATACTGGTACCGATTCCAGGTTCCCGTCAATAGTACGCAGATGGAGGAATGTTCTAAACGACTATTTGATTCCAACCTGTTGCGCATGCTGGGTTTTTGTGGTTTCAACTACGGATGTGAAAGCTCTATCCATATTCCATGGATTAAGGGTTCCAGATGTTGTGGTTTATCCGTCGTTCTTTTGGGACCCTAACTGCTGGTGTATTTGTAAAGCTCTTCTCAGCGTTTGTGCGACCCCACCTAGAATATTGCGTCCAGGCCTGTCCACCATGCCTTGCCGGGACAAAATGGCACTAGAAAGATTGTTGCGTGTCGGTACTAGGTGAGTCAAGGGATTACGAGGACAAACGTACTTCGAACGCCTACTTGGTCTGAGGAAACAGTCAATGCACTATCGAAGGATTAGAGGGGACCTAATCCTAGCCTACCGTATTTTGACTGGTAAAGCTGGCTTGGATTTGTTCCGGCTATTTACTCATGCTACATTATCTGGTCTCCGCGGGCATTGTATGAAGCTGGAAAAACCGCGGTCCGATAGAATTAGAGCGGAGACACAGTTATGGCATTGAGTCATCGAGCACTGGCTCCTGGTTCCAGAAAATGTTGTCAAGGAAACTACGGTTAAGGGGTTTGAGCGTCAACTAGACGCTCTTGGGTGGCAACACGAAACCTTTCTTTTTTCCTGTCTAATTCCCATCTTCATGATTTGATATTATTTTCTTTACATTTCCTCATCATTGTTGTTATTCTCTTCTTTTAACTGATTTCCCTTACCTTCGATTTATCGTTCTCTCTTACTTACTTCACGTAGCTGACATAGCTGGGACAGCTAATGTAAGGAACGTAGGCATTAAATTGGTGGACCAGGGTGTTTTTCGAGTGTTTTTCTTTTAGACCCTTCAAGAAGTCGGAGTAGCTCTATCAACTCCTGGCTCGACGACCCGCTCAAGAAGAAACACTTAAGGGATTCATTATATCGTTCTAGTCTCACTTGGACTTTAACTACCATGATCATCGCGGAGATTTAATTCTCACCTAACGCCTCCTTCTGAATCGGATTCATTAGGACCAAAAAGAAAAAATCTGTGTGTACTCCATCAAAAGTAATTCAGATGTCATTTAAGGTACACGCAGGGTCCAGCGGTTGGGTAGTTGATAGGTGGTTGGAGTGCCGCTGATATATCTTTACTATAGCACGAATCAGAAAAATAAGTTCAAGCTGTTGTTAACTGCGTCGACGGGCTCGTATTGCACAATCATCGATGGTAGACGATCCCAATAATGCACGAGTCGTTGATCAAAATTGTACAGATGCTTTCATTGTCCAATCGTGTTAATGCTAGCTTGCACTGCTGCCTCTTGTAATGCAGGTATTGTTGATTTTAAACAGAGGACGCAGGGACGGTAACTGTCTTAGCCGTACTAATCGGAAAACGCTTAAGATGTCCATTCTTAGTCACCGGTATCCTAGAGTAAGCAGACTTACACATTGAGATCCGTCAGTGTAATCCAATGTTCGAAGAGAAGAATTCATCCGCGTAGCCAGCCGTTGCATCCTCGCAAGAGTTCCAGCTTCACCTCGCGTAACCGGATGGTAAGCTGTGCTCCGTATTATTTTGAGCTTTATTGGACCCAAATCCAACTGATTTATACATAACCCTTAACCGCTTAGATTATACATAAAAATCGAACATTTGTAATGTCAAAAGTATGTACATGAAACACAAGGAAAAGGGAATTATTGTAGTAATATAAAAGGGATAACCGCATCGCTTACTTCAAGGTCATTTTTGAAAAAACGCGGTTGTCATAGGTGCAACGGCTTAAACGTTGCGTTATTTAAGGCCAAGCCACGTTATGTAATACAATTGTGTTTGCACGTTATTAAATAATGTTTTATACTTGATGGTTACTTTTATTTATTACTTTACTGCATAGCTTAGACTGTGGTTAAAATGCCCCAATCTCCGGGATTCTCGACTGTCCCATGTGTTCAATTTGCCCTTGGGTCATCAGTTTTGACTGCTGCTGAACGTTTGGCCTATCTTCCTGGTAGTGGAGCAGTTACATGGGCCTCTATTTAATGCTTCATTGAGGCCACATCTTTTTGTTAATAGTCCTGATCAAATTTCTCGGATTATTCTTTGAATTTCTTTCTCTTCCTATCGGCATCTAACAAATACGATAACATATTCATCCATATTGCTTTCCAATGAATTTTTCCAACAAATTTATTGATGTCTGGAATTCGAAGTTCGATGGAGCCCATACACCACCACGTTTAGACTGTCTTAAAGCTGACCAGTTCCGTTCTTTACTCGAGCAAAAACAAGCCTTAGAGTTTGAGGAATCTAAACGATGTGCAGTGATTGAAGAGCTGAAACAACAGCTGGACCAAGAAAGCTTTATAACGGAATTCTTACACAAATGCATTCAAAAACTTGGGGCTGTTTCTCATGTGTTTAATGAAATTGATCAAAGTGACTCGAAATCCTCCTCCTCCAGCACGACTGCCGGTCAGCATCAGAGTCAGTGTAGTTCACCCCCTCTGGCTGTCAGCACTAGCTCGTCTTTGCAAAGTAACAAATTCCTCGCTTCTGCGGCCAGCTCTAGCTTTCCTCTGTTTCCCCATTGTATCGCCTCAAGCTTGATCCACTCCGCTTCCCCACTTCTGGCTGCAGCAGCAGCAGCGGCACCATCTTCTCCATTTCTCTTGCCATCCTCTCTGTCGGCATGTTCCGCATTTGAATCCATCAAGTAAGTGCTATCATTCTTTGCTATCTTCCTCGCTTCAATTCTCATAGTGGCATTTCAACTCATGATTGTTTCCAGCTTGCGCACTGAAGCTAACATTTCGCTTTCAATTAATCATTTATCCATTTGTTTAGCTTATATTCCATTGATTGGTTTAAATTTTGGGTTGTATATCTTGTCACCTAGTTCTGCCCTTGCAGTTTTCTACATATTGTGTGAGTAACATCTTGCCATCGCGAAACCTCATCCATTTAGTAGTGAACGAAGTTTAACTTTTCGAGTATCGCAGTAGCGCGTACCTACATCCACAACACTGTGTCTGAATTATTTATATAATGTTTTTCTTGTCGCTGCAACTTTTCCGAAACACATACGGTAGTAGTTTCACATGGTCACCATCATCAACAACGTCACATCAGCCAGTTGAATCAACGCTTCGCTGCCGTAAAACCACAATGACCTGTGGACCGAAAATTAATAAGAAGGGAAAACGTGGGGTCCAGCAAAAAATCTAAATGCTTTAGGCAAGCGTTGAGGATCAATGTGCCTACGTCTCATCACCAAAATACGGTCATTATCATCAACTGCACTTAATCACCCATTTGAACGGATGCTTCCCTGCCATATAACCACGGTGACACACGGAACGAAAAACAATGAGAGAGAGCAGATGGACTTGGTGTAAAACCTTAATGCCCTTAACAAACATTAAAGGTGCCCACACCTTGTCAACAACATAACCTCAAAAAAGCTAGCTATCGTGCAAAAATAAAGTGAGACAGCTGCCTTGGGGCTTTCACTGTCCCATATAATAATCACCCCTTACCCCTCAGTTAACTCAGTACAAAACACTTTTTAAGCAGGCAGTCCGATTAGGCGACGGTAGCAGACGCGCCACTGGTGTCGGCTGTGAGCTATGTCCTGTAAACTCTCGAGCCAAGCACAAGGCGAGCCACGTGGACTCCAGCCTGGAAAGCAAGACAGACCAACGACACCGCGTTTGTTCGTCAGTGATTTCACTCCGCTGCCAAGTCAACTTCTGTCCACATTGAACCTTGCGCCACCCTACACCTGCCAAACAAGACAAGTCCAAGTTCAGGTGGGACTGGAACTTTTGGGTGAATCCTGTATGTCTATAGAACAAAAGACCATCTGGTGAGCAATTGCTTTCAATGATTCATCGTCAGACCATTACAATCATATAGAGGCTAGAAAGAGAAATCGACCCACTTAGTTCAAAACGAATTGATCACGTGAAGGTCAATGTCAGAGTGGAAAAAAACGAATTAGGTCTTAGAGGGCTAGATGTTCGCTACCGCGTCTGACCGAAGGCAGTCGACCTGGGCGTCTTCCATCTTCGCTGGCCAGGGAAGCTGGAGAGCCTGGACAAGCTTCTTCTGTGAGCATAAGGACGACTGGAACAATCGAATGCATATTGCTTCAGCTGTCTCAGGCGTACGAAGGCGGTAACCTTTCGTTCGGTGCGGTGAAACCTTGTAAACTATTCGGAAAGCGCGTTTCTTATCCACTTCGTGGCCGGTGTCCACAATGTGGGCCAGAATGGCGCTACTAATGGTTCCGGTGCCCCCTTGACAAAGCCAGCGAGGGCAATGTTCGTTCACGCGTTTTGATAACTGCCGCGCCATTCGACCAATATACGTCGCGCCACAGGCGCACACGAATTGATAAATCACCATTAATGTGGTCAGCATCGGCAGCTTGTCCTTGTTTTGTGAACGAATGGGTGCTTCCGTTGAGAACACGCACTTCAACGAGGCTGCTGGAAAGGTCGACTTTACCGCGGCCGAAAGGCTTCTGGTTAGACGCTCGGTAGCCGCGTCCCCTTTGAATGGTAAGCGAATAAATAACTCTTTCTTTGGCGCTGTTAACACTGCCACTGGTTTCGGTTTTTCTTGGAGGTTCCTTAGGATAAATCTATCGGGATAACCGTTTTCACGTAGAGTGTTCTGTATGAACATTTCTCTTTCAAGCATCTATATGATTGTAATGGTCTGACGATGAATCATTGAAAGCAATTGCCCACCAGATGGTCTTTTGTTCTATAGACTTAAATGGGAATTTTCAAGTTACTTAAATCCTGTAAGTGTTTACTGTTAAGCGTGTCGTTGATCCAGGAGTTTATAGGGATGCCCTGACTTCTTGATGTATCTAAAACGTGCCCCGGTCCACCAATTTAATGCTCACTTCCCTTGCATTAACAGTCCCCGCTATGTCAGTTACGTGAAGTATATAAAGGAGGAAGATAAATAGAAGGGAAAAAGTTAGGATCCTCATTTGAAAATGAGGATAATGCCAATGGTGAAGGAAAGTACAGAATATAGGATCGAAATATGAAAATGACTGTTAGTCAGGAAAAAGGAAAGGTTTCGTGCCGCCATTCAGGAGCATCTACTTGCCACCCAAACCCCCTAACCTTAGTTTCCCTGACAACATTTTCTGACATCGAACTCCAGCGCTTGATGACTCGATGCGATAACCGTGTCTCAGCTCTAAATCGATCGGACCACGGTTTATCCATCTTCATACAGTGCCCACGGAAACCAGCTAGTCTAGCAAGACTAAATAGCCAGGACAAATCCAGGCCAACCTTACCAGTCAAAATGCAGTGGCTTAGGATTAGGTCCCCTCTAATCCATCCATAGTGCATTGAATGCATTCTCAAACCAAGTAGGCGTTCGAGGTACGTTTGTCCTCGTAACCCTTTCTAGTGCCATTTTGTCCCGGCAAGTCATGGGGAACAGGCCTGTACGCACTACTCTACGTGATGTCGCATGAACGCTGAGAATAGCTTCACAAACCTGTCAGCTGTTAGAGTCCCGAAAGAACGACGGTTAAACCACACCCGGAACCCTATACTAGCCACTTTCCAGTTGTCTCCAGAGTGTAGAGTGGAACAGTGGACGGCACCTAGATCAACCTGGTGACTCACGTGAGGAAGTTCACTCCTATCGATTGCACAACTTGTGGCGAAATCAGGCGCTCCGATACGCAGCACTAAACACTTTTATGTGCAGCAACCACAAGACCGATCATTCCCAGAGTCTATCCAGAGCCCGTTGAAGAGCCGCAAGACCACCAGGGACGTCAACTATTCCAGAGATGTAGGTTATCAGCAAATAAGAGTGATTGTCCCTCGAGCTCCACTGGCAACTCATTCACGTTGACTGCGAACAGCAGCGGACCTAGGACAGAGCCTTGCGGAACGCCACTAAGGACTGCTTGTCGAAACGAAAGACTGCTTCCCACACTAATGCACTGTTCCCTTCCATCCAGAAACACTGACACCCACTGAAGATCGCTACCAGATATTCCTTAAGACCTCAACTTCAGTGAGAGTCGCGCATGTGAGACAGAGGCCTTGGCCAAGTCGCTAAGCGGTGACCAGGCATACGTAGTACGTGTCTATGCCAACGCAACTTATTCAGCGCTATCTGTTCTAAGGAACTAGCATGGTTATCACTGCTTAGTAATCGCTTACGCACTTCATCGTTGCAGACATACGACATCAGCAGACAACGATAATCAGAGGCTTGAAGGTGCCGCAGATCCTCAGATCGGAGGGGCCAAGTTTCGCTCCCATAGGGTTGAACGGCCCTCATTGTGGCCTTGTATACACGGCCTTGGAGACTGGGGAAAATCCCTTTCTGATGCCATAGATCTTACAGATCCCAGAAGGCAGTTCTGGGTTTTACGATGCATGAACTGACTTCAAATGTTATGCGCCTATCTTTTCTGATGCAGTTGCCATAGCAGATGAAGTGATCAACTACCTGGACTTCCTCGTCATCAAGTGGCTGGTGGTCCTGCAGCAACACTGCACTTTGAAGGTGCGATACTCATTGCAAATGATTGGACCAGTCTGGAGGGGTTATCCAGGGCTGGCTGCACCGCCCAAACATCAGTAAACAGCAGGACACTATTGTCCACATAATCAAGATCAGCTAATTTTTCACCAGGCAGCACCTCAACGCCTGCAACTTTAGGCTCCGCAAGCAATTACTCCATGATGGAATCCACGTTGAAGTTGGACAAAAATGGGCTAATTAAATTACACTTGTTGTCGGAAGACATTCGATAAATCACCCTATAACGTGACGCGACCCGTCATGTTCGATTACAGGGCACGTGAAATGTTCACATATTTTATGGGAACCTTTCCACACAATGTGCGCCAACTGCAGGAGTATCCGATCGATTCCTATCGTTTGCACAGTTCTTGTGTCTATCCCTAACTCTCAGTTCACTACAGCAAGATGAACAGGCTGGGTTCTACCTTGGTCGCGGCTGCATCGACCAAATTTTCATACTTCCCCATCTCTTCGTGCTCCCCCATATGTATCAAAAGCCAACGATTTTTATGTTCCTTGCTATCCGTGCTGCCTTCGATCCTGTCGACAAGACTGCATTGTGCTACTGTCTGTTGAGGAATGGCGTCCCAGGGAAGTTCGTTTTCGTACTGCGTGCTATGTAGTCTGACCCCGGGTAGAGTTATGGCTTATGGCAAGCTTTCGCCTTTCTGTGCTGTCACCAGTGGACTTCGACAAACATGCCATATTTCCCCATCCCTTTTCATTTTTGCCCTTGTGGATGTCCTCAAAAATTCTCAGGAAGATTCGTTGAGCGCTTTCGTGGAGCTCCTCCCAGGTAGGCGAGTTATTGACTTTGACTACGCTGATGATATCTTCTTGCTGGGTGACGGTCCTCAGGCTGTCCAACTTGCACTTAACCGTTGGCGATTGAACCGTAAAAGTATGGGATGGCTTTTCCCCATCCAAGCGCGAAACGATTTTTCGTGACTTTCAAATGCCTGTACCTTCACTCACTTTTGATGGTGAGACACTGGAGGTTATGAAGTTTTGTATATATGGGAAGCTGTATCACTCTTGGTAGAGCTGTTGGAGACGAGATTTCGTTGCGTATCTCCAGAGCTCGTCTAGCTTTCTCTAGTCCGCCATGACACCCGTCTTTCCATCAAAGGGCGG